TACCCTTTATTTTAAATAAACCATCATCTTGCCAATCATGGTTTTTGCCCACCATGGAGTGGTTCGAGTTGGCAAAAGATGACTGTGTGTACTTTTCTTCTCTTCAGAGGTTAAATGTAACTCTTGAGAGTCATTTAGGTTAGAAAAAAAAAGTGTGTCGGGTTGACAAGTCCCCACTATGTGCAGCAGATGCTGAGGTCAGTGCAGGAGTACGGTATGGTTCCCATGTGGCTCGTGCTGACCGTCAGACTGGGAAGCCAGACTTAGAGCAAATAACTCAGCTACAAGCTGAGGAAAGTGCACAACAGAGGCAGGGACAAAGGGTTTGCGTGATGGGACACTTGGCTCTGCTGGGCATGGGAGTGAGGGGAGAATGAAGTCAGGCAAGGTCAGCGAGGGCTGAATAAAAGCTAATATTCACTGAGTCCTCACTGAGCACCGCGCCCCAAGCCCAGGTCCCAAAGAGTGGAATGTGCAGCACAGGTACAGGAGGTGGTTTCGGGGTCCATGTGTGCTGTGCTGGCCTCCCCAGCTGGGTACTGACTGGCATCGTTGCTTAAAGGTCTAGTCTCAGAGGAGTGATCATCTCTGCTAGAGAGAAGGTGAAACCCCTCATCAGCTTCTCCTCCTTCCAGCATGTTCTAGAGCTCCTAGCTCAACCAGCCAGGGCTTGTTCTCCAGCCCCTTCCACCCCACAGCTTTCATCCCTTACCCCACCCATCCTCAGGGTCCTCAGCTGCCCCGCCATCAGCTCTTACCCTCCTCCACCTTAATCCCGCACTGTCTTACATTTCCTCCACCCTCAAAAGGGGGACCCTGAGCCCACTCCCCAGGCTGTACCCATCTCCCATTCCCCAGGGCTCCCTCTGCAGTCCCACTCATTTCTCCTCTATCCCTCACCCCAGCTCTCCTCTGTCAATCTCAGACCTGCCATCTACCAGTTTCCTCACTTCCCACTCCTCCTCCTAGCTCAGCTTTTTCCTCCCAGAGGAAGCTCCCTTCTTTCTGCCAGATTCTCCAGGTTGGGGCTGCTGCCCCTCATCCATCCCCATTACCTTCCTGCTCCTGTCCCCAGGGGCCTGGAGACCCAACACTGGATGCCTCTCTTTCTGCCCTCAAACTCTGAGAGCCACAGGCCTTCCCATCATGGGCATGGGTCTTTTAAATTTATTTTTGTTCTTTTGAATCTGCTTGGTTCTTTAGAAAAATAATTTCCATTGAAAAAGTGACTGATTTTTTAAAATGCTGAGTAAATAACAGGACAGGTGGTAGGTGGAGTTAGCAATGATGGTGGACATTTAGGAAGCACTGCATTTTTCCCATTTACCTTACAGCAGCCCGATGAAGTTCAGTTATGGACTGTTATTATTGCCACTGGGCAAAGTGGGGCCCATCTGGGCTTCATGATGAATTCCACAATGTCATGTGATGTGTTTTAAGGAATTGGCCTTATTGGAGAAAGGGCAAACTTACAAGGCTGGGTTTATCCTCTGAACCCCATCATCCCACTGAGTTTGGGTGTAGCCTCTGCCCCAGGAGGGTGGGGCAAAGATGGCCCACTGGAGCTGGCTCATTATCTTGGCAACCCAGAATGAGGTCTGAGGGCTGCCTTTGGCAACTGTGCTAATCAAACCATGATCCCCATTTTATAGATGCAGAAACAGGCCAGAGAAATTAAATGATTTGTCTGAGTCACACACCAATTCCAGGGCCTGAATTCAAAACCAGTCTGTTATTGTACAGTGCAAGGAAAGGAGAAGATTGTACAAAGCACCAAGGAGGGGAATATCGCTGCTCTCTGGCCTCACTTTGCATCTCTGAGAAGAAAGGTGATGTTCTGTGAGGAGCCACTGAGCCCTGCGGTGTTTTGACCCTTCCTCCTTCAGGCACTGGCCCCCTGTCACCTGGGCTGATTGACATGTTGGAAGCTATAAGAGCCACCGCAAACCACCTTCTTTGCTAATTGTAAGGAGACTTGCTTTGCCTCACACCCATGCCAGAGAGTACCCAATTTAATTTAGTACCCAAATTAAAGATGACTTAGGTATTTTACAGTTTAAAATGCTTTATAATCACTGGCAATGGTTTGTGGTAGAGGTATCTATAGAAATTTTTGAGATCTTGTCCGTAAACATCAAGATGAAAATAGGAGCTGTTTCTTTAATTCTTACCCTACAATTTTTAAAAAACGCTTTAATATTCCATTCAACTCCTTCTTCCCTTTCTCCTCTTTCTCTCTTGCTGGTTCTGAAAAATAAGTGTAGCCATAAAAATGCAGGATGTAGAAAGCTGACTTTTCCTATATCTAATAAAAACCTTGGGGAGTAATTGAAATAACTTGGCGCGGGTAGTCAGGTTACATGCTGCATATCAAAGGAAAATCCATAGTGAGGAAAAGCAAGAGAAACTAGGAAGAGGGGCCGGAGAATAAAAACAGAACATTGAGTAATGAGTAACTATGAGAAACGAAAAAAAAAATCCTTTTAGAATTACATCCTTAGAAAAATAGTCAAGAAACATCTTCAAAGAAGTTCTACTAGACAAAATATATACTCTATGTGTTTCTAAGAGTTGCAAATTTAAAGAAAAGGAAAGAAAGAATCCCCCCAACGCCCCCCACCCCCTCACCTCCACATCTATTCATTAGACAAAAGTCTGACAGCAGCCACAATTTTCCATCAAATTTTGACATTCATGTTTGTTCATTAGGATCTCCTCCCGTCTCCTTTCTCTCTTTTTATCTCCATAATCTTAATTTTAAAGGAATGCTGTCAAGACAGCATACCACAAAAGGAGAAACGTCTGCTATAAATTGTACTGAGTACTTTTTGGAGTGTCTTACTTTGGTCTTTTTGATTTTACAAAAGATAGCTGCTTTCATCATGGGTAGAAAGTGATGTCTGGGTCTTGTGTGAGAGAGAAATGCTGGTGTTGTAGGCACACGCAGAGAGCAGCTTACAGCCAGCCTTCCTGGCAGAATCCTATTGCTTTTTCCCTGCCCTAACAGGTACCCTGGGCTCTGGGATCTTGGGCAAGTCTTTACTGTTCCTAGACTCAGTTTCTTTCTAAAGTTTTTTCTAAAGGTTATTTCTAAATAAAAGTTAAATCTTTGGGAAACAGAAAAGTTAAAAAAAAGAAAAAGGCAATCATCCATAATTTATCAAACATAATGATTTTGGTGTGTTTTTTTGCCAATCTTCTTATGTACAGCTAGTTTTTTCTTTTATTTTAAAAAATATAGTAGATTAAACTCTACTATCCAATTTTATATCCTGATTTTTCTTTTGGCAGGGTTTTGTCTTTTAAATAAAAATATATGGACTTTTAACCATCATTTTCTAGAGCTGCAGAATATTCTACACTGATGTTTTGTTCTTTGTTTTTTACAGTCTACGCTGACAGAGAGCTTTTGATAGCAGTAGGGCTGTTCGAATATCTCACTGAAGGAAAAGAGAAAGTGCAAAACGGGGCCAATATTCACTTTGTGTCTATGATGATTCACAGCCAGTTTCAATAATAATTTTCTGATAAACTGTTGGCTGTGTTTGTATACAGAGGTGAGGCCAATCTCTTTCTGTAGATCATCTTGATCATAGACCAGTGACTATATTATCTTTGTTGGTGTCTGAGTGGAGTGAGACAAGCTGGGTACAAATTCCAGCTTCACAACTTACTATTTCTGTGATCTGGGACAAGGTTCTTTGTCTCTCTATGCCTCTGTTCTGAGAAGTAGATTTTAATACATTTGATATTGGGTTGAGTGCTGCAATCAATGCGTACATTGTAATTTTTCCTTGCTTTTTTCTCCCTAAACCTTCCCCAGAGCTATTACAATCAGTGGTATCTTAGAGCTGAAGAAATATAATAATACTTGCCTTACAGTTTGTTGAAAAGATTAGCTGAAATATTATACATAAAGTGTTCTTAGCAGTTGGTAAGAGATCGATAAATATTAGCTATTATTTTATTAGTAAAAAAACTATGTTGTTCTTAGAATAGAAGATTTATTCGGTGCAGAATATATATTATAAGAAATACATTATTTGTAGGTCATATATATAGTTAAAACTTGTACTGCCTGGAAAATTCCTTAACACTCGTTAATTAGAGACGGCACAGGGATGGCAAATAGGTTTAACTTTATGTGTCAAGTCAATCTGTTGATGATGATTGTCAGGTGCGCTGTGTCATAAGAATTGCTGAGGTGGAATCTGAATGTAGTAGACAAGAGTGCCAAGGTTGATCAGTAATATCTTCCCCAGACTTAGGAAGATGGAGTGGCAACACACACACTGATCACCGTCTCTGCATTATGGTGTCACAAAGCATTACTCGGCGGTTCATTAGGCACTAGCCAGGCCATGGTTTATCAATCAGAAGTTTCACTGAAATCTTGTGGCAATGGACTGAATCCGGGTCCCAGGTGGGAGATGAGAACCACACAGTAAGAAGTAAGTCCAGAAGACACAGATGTCTTGGGAAACATGGGAAGCTGATGGAGACCTGGAAGTCACAACAACACTGAAATCTTTCCTTTTGTTAATGGCTTTGGGATTTCAGCCACAAACTCTTAGCTATTTTTCTTAAAACTCCAACTCCAGTAGAAGGGTGGGAGACTTTGCACTATAGGGGAGAGCAGAGCCTTTGCAATGAGTGACTTCAGTTTTGCTCAGCCCTTGTTCTGCTGATGCTCACTTAGATCTTGCCTCCTGAGCCTTGAACACCCTGTACCTTGGCCTTTCTAGAACTTTGCTGTTGGATAACTGACCTGCCCCCTGGGACTATGCCTTGACTGCATCTTGTACTTGTTCTCTTTTGCTGTAGGTAAGAGGCTCTAAGCCCAGGGCTGCTCTCTTGGAAAGGGTAATTGTGTTGTAAAGGGAGAGTGCTCATTTTCTTCTGTGGTCCTTGTTACCTAATTCTCAGCTTTTGTGGTGCTTATGAAATAAAACCAATCATTAAAGGCACATTGGTAAAGACTTCCGTGGAAAGCTACATACCATTTCTTGAAATATTCTGGTAGTCCCTGTGATTGCAGTGGTTTCTTTTCCGTAAACGAAGGTAAATCGAGTTTTCTTTAACTCTGAAACAAATATACATGTGTGTATTTAATGTCAGGACATTCACACGATGAAGTTCAAAGAAACACATTTTTATTATGATTTTTAAAAATGTCGTGAAAACGAACTCAGAAAATCAAATCTCTGTAGACACATTTTCTCTAAACTGTCGAGGCATTATTAAGAGTTGTCCTACAAAACGGGTTGCATTGACCTGGTAAGATCAAATTTTTTCTTTTTTATGAAGACCTCTAGAGTCAACCCTTTCTAATCTTTTTACCAAGAGTAAGTCTCTTGAGCACTTGGTCGTCTTTGTCAACTCTGTTATTTTGAACCTGACCATGTTCCCTTTCCTCTTTCGGCTGCTATGAAGCCGTGGCAGACACTCTTGTTCTTCAGATCCATTTCTCCTTTTGTTCATTTTAAAAGAAGTTTTATAAGACATATGTCTAGCCCAGAATGATGACTGCTTTCCCTTGCAGCTAAGAGTGGCCACTTCATTAAGTTCTGGACAATGTGATGGAAGTGAAAGTACTCAGCGGCAATTTCTGGGAACGTTTCCTAGGAAACAATTGGCAGGTGACTCTTGCTCTTTCTTTGCTCTCTTTCTCCATTCTGCTGCCTACAATAGGAATGCTGCCATCTTGGACTGTAGGGATAAGTTCTACGTTGGGAACTGGGGTGAGCTGGAAGGACCCTGGATCCCTAGGACCAGCGGAATTGAGCTCTCATACCAGACCTGGACTGCACATCTCTGAATTTTTATGTGTGAGAGAAATAAACTCATGCATTGTCTTATTCAAACCACCCATATGTTGAGTCTCTCTGTTACTTGTAGCTGAATCTAATACTAATGGACTCAAAGTTTAGAGACAAATTTGTGACCAGTATCAGGCTATAATTGCACATATTTTAAATCACTTTCTTGGCTACTCTTTGTCGTATCTTTGATTTTCTATCTTCTTTTGCCAAGATTTAATTTAATTTAAATATAATTTAATGTTATATTCTCTATACTTTTATAGGCTTCCTGAAATGCTTTTTGAAACAAGACCAGGTATAAACTAATGAATAATAATTAAACTCAGAAGTATTCAATTGCTCCTCAAATGTATTGTGTCTTTTATTCATCATAATGACTTCATATCTCACAGCCTTACATAAATCACCATTTATTTTTAAGTGCTATGTAAATCTCACTCATTGTATTACAACGCTTGCCAACTGTCCGAGTGCTTCAGAAAGGTAAACGTGTATCAGGTTTGGGCAGTTGGAATGCGCTGACAGTAATATTCTTTTTGAAGTCTGAGAAAACTAATGATAACATTTCTTAATAAAAGACCAAGATGTCTGAGCAATAGTTTAAGTATGGGATTTTTGCTTTGTGGTAGAGTTTTGTCTTTTTTTAGTTACTGTTTTTTTTGAGGAAGATTGGCCCTGAGCTAACATCTGTTGCCAATCTTTCTCCTTTTTTCCCTTTTTCTCCCCAAAGCCCAAGTAGGTAGTTGTATGTCATAGTTGTACATCCTTCTAGTTGCTCTATGTGGGATGCCGCCTCAGCATGATGGGTGGTGCATAGGTCCACATCCAGGATCTGAACCAGTGAACCCTGGGCCACCAAAGCAGAGCATGTGAATGTAACTGCTATGCCACCGGGCTGGCCCCTGTGGTAGAGTTTTGAGGTGAATGATTAGTTTTACTTTTTAAAATCAAAGCTACCCATGCACATAGTTTAAAAAATCAAATTCTTTTTACTTGGGTGATGTTTATTGAACCTTAATACATTCCAGGCACTGTTATAGGCACCTGGGTCATATTGGTAAATGAAAAAGACAAAGACCCCTGCCCCTGTGCTGTTGACATTCCAGCAGGAAAAGACACTACACATCATGAATAAGCAAATTATAGAGAATACTAGAAGGTGGTAAGTGCTATGAAAAAAAGGGAGGCAGAGGAACTAGGATTAGAGTGGTCAGAACGAGCCCCATTAAAAAGGTGAATGTGAACAAAGACTTGAGGTGGTGAGCCTTATAGAACCAAATAGTTTAGCTATTTATGTCTATAAGGCTTGTAGTGATAAACAGCAACCCCACACTATGTGTCCCCCCTTCTCTGTTCCCAGAGGCAAATAATTTCATTTGCCTTAATTGATTAAGTCTTTTGGTATTTTCTTCCTTATCTCTTAATTGACTGAGTCTTTTGGTATTTTCTTCCTTATCTCTAAATAACATACTTTTAAGGCCATGTCTTGATTTTTAGTCTTTGGCATTATCTATCCACTTCCGACTATCAGGAGCTATTCACAATTGAATAGCTATTTACAAGTGACAACAGTGATTTAGCTATTCACAATTGATCTATGATTTCTTTTTCTTCCCTTCACGACTCTTTTATTTCCCTGGAATTAATAGCTGCCTTTGGTTTCTTTGCTTAATTAACTAAGTATTTATCATCAATTCACTCTCAAATCTTTTACAGTTGTTTGATCTCCTTTCAATATGCTCTGATATATCAGATAGTTTATTGATCTCATCTTCTTGTGGTAGTCTCTCCTGGAACTTCTTGACTTGTTTAATCTGGACTTGTTGTCCTCACCCTGGTGCACAGCAGATATCCTGCAAGCTCCCTTCTTCATCATCCTGAGGATTCTCTTTATCTCTTTCTGGCTTGTTAGAGCTCCTATGTCGTGGAAGACCACATTTTTCTTGTTTTTTTGTGGAGAATACTTTTAAATAACTTTTCAAGGATGTGTGGGAAGTAACGTTATTTTTTTAGCATTTGTATATATGAAAATGTTTTTATTTTTTGACTTGGTGAGGTGTAAGGTGGTAAGGTATTGCTGCTGAGGTGTAAGATGGGCCCAGAAACACAGCTTGCACTATAAGTATAAACATAGACAGGGAATAGGACTTGTTATGGAAAAACTTCAAGGAAAGGAATAGCAGTGTTCACTTGGTCTCTGAACTCTCATTATCTCAAAGAAAGATGTCTTAGACAGGACATAGCTAGACTAGACACATCCAGGACATCCTACATATTTTTAGGGAAAGTAGGTTTTGGTGTTTATAAGTCATTATGTAATAATAATAATAATAATAATAATAATAATAATAATAATAATAAGAGATTTCTGGTATAAGCAATCATTTTGTTAAAAAGGAAGAGTCCCAAACATGATGAATAAGCTTCTTGGTAAGCTACCAATAGGAAGGAGGAAATGAGCCTCTAGGATCATCAGAGTTTGCCTCTCATTGACTGATGTGGTAGGTTAAAGATGGCCTCATTATCTTTGACACTGCTACCCTTTTTTTTTTATTGTGGTAACATTGGTTTATAACATTATATAAATTTCAGGTGTACATCGTTGTATTTCAATTTCTGTATAGATTATATCATGTTCACCACCCAAAGACTAATTACAATCCATCACCACACACATGTGCCTAATAATCCCTTTCAACATCCTCCCTCCCCCTACCCCTCTGGTAACCACCAATCCAATCTCTGTCTCTATGTCATTGTTTGTTGTTGTTTTTATCCTCTACTTACGAGTGAGATCATACAGTATTTGACTTTCTCCCTCTGACTTATTTCGCTTAGCATAATACCCTCAAGTTCCATCCATGTTGTCACAAATGGCCGGATTTCATTGTTTCTTATGGCTGAGTAGTATTCCACTGTGTATATATACCACACCTTCTTTATCCATTTGTCCTTTGATGGGCACCTAGGTTGCTTCCAAGTCCTGGCTATTGTGAATCATGCTGCAATGAACATAGGGGTGCATGTATCTTTACACATTCATGTTTTCATGTTCTTTAGATAAATACCCAGCAGTGGAATAGCTGGATCATATGGTAGTTCTATCCTTAATTTTTTGAGGAATCTCCATACTGTTTTCCATAGCGGCTGCACCAGTTTGCACTCCCTACAGCAATGTATGAGAGTTCTCTTCGTTCCACATCCTCTCCAACACATGTTGTTTCCTGTCTTGTTAATTATAGCCATTCTGGGGGGAGTGAGGTGATATCTCATTGTAGTTTTGATTTGCATTTCCCTGAGACACTCTACTATAAAATCTCAGCTGTCCTGTGACTTGTTTGACCCATAGGATATGGTGGAAGTGACACTATGCCAGTTCTGGCCTTGCTTTTAAGATACCTGGCCACTTTGGTCTCTTGGAGCCCTGATCCATTATGCAAGAAGTATGAATACCTTGCTGGAGACACTACGTAAAAAGGCCCTGCAGTAGAAGCAACCAAAATGTCCTTCAATAGGTGAATGGATAACCAAACTGTGGTACATCCATACAATGGGCTATTATTCAGCAATAAGAGGAAATTAACTATGAATCCATGAAAAGACATAGAAGAACCTAAATACATAATTCTAAGTTAAAAAAAATCCAATCTGAAAAGGCTACATACTGTATGATTCCAACTATATGGCATTCTGGAAAAATCAAAACCATGAAGACAGTAAAAAGATCAGTGGTTTCCAGGAATTTGAGGAGGTGGGCGAGGGGGGATTAATAGGTGGAGCACAGATGATTTTTAGGGCAGTGAAACTAATCTGTATGATACTGTAACAGTAGATACATGTCATTACGCATTTGTCAAAATCCATAGAACGTACAACACAGAGAGTGAACCCTCATGTATACTATGGACTTCAGTTAAGAATAATGTAGCAATATTGGCTCTTCATTTATAACAAATGTACCATAGTAATGTAAGATGATAATAATAAGGGAAATTGAGGAGGAGATGAGGGAATATACGGGAACTCTCTGTAATTTCTGCTCAGTTTTTCTGTAACCTAAAACTGCTCAAAAATTAAAGTCTATTAAAAAAAAAAAAAAGGCTCTACCCAGAAAAGAAGAGGGACCCAGCTAAACCCAGCCTTCTAGTCGCCCCTTCCCAGGCACCAGTTATGTGAGTGAAGCTATCTTGTAACCTTCAGCCCAGCCACTATGTGAATACCATCGAGCAACCGTGGTCAATGTCATGTGGAAAAGAAAAAT